ATTGTGATTTGAGTGAAAGCTTACAGAGCAAATTGGTTTTTCATTCAACAATTCATACACGTTCTTTGTGACATTGATAACAACAGTACTCACTCTTCCCACTTCCTGTGTTGATCAACCATTCAATCTTCTTTTCCATCCTTTTCCTGCCTTCTTAGCTTTGTTCTTGGGCAAATGCTGCCCTTTTGATCCCCTACAGTTGATTGTTCTGAAAAGTACTTACCTTCCAGGTGTCACTGTTCAGGTTACAGGCCTGTCTGTCAGTAGGTGGAAGCTGAACCTTGGGAAGTGAGTTCAGTCAAGGCCTCAAAGGTGACTAAGGGCCAGAGTCTCAAGGCTTCCACCAGTCTCTACCCAACAAGACTGAACTTTTAAAATTTCTACTTATTATAATTGTGAAATTGCTTCATGTTATCCTCCCACTCTATCCAGAACCTCCTATTGTGATCCCTTTTAGAGGAATGAGCAGCAGTAGCTGAGCACCATCTAGCTCTTCTCGTCTTAGGTTCCCACAGACCATGAGTACTTGGGACTAATTGTCTCGAGTCTTTGATTTTCTTCACTCTTCTTTGGAAAGACCAAATGTTTCACCTTAGGTGGCCAGTCACAAGCTTTTAAGACCTCAGCCCTTCTTCACTAGAGTAGGATATAGAACACTGTCCTTGTGGATTGTTAGGCTAACTGGCTTAACAATGACGTCACCTGAGACTATGGCCCTTAGCTCCAAAGCCTAGCAACTCATTCCCTCATGATATTTCATTATGATGCAGAAATTTTCATAACTTTGTCCCCACTGTATTATATTCACAGATACATTTACAGCATATTTAAATACACAAGTAGAATTCTACTCTGTCAAACCTATATAAATCCATTGGTGCAATCCCATTCAACTTCCCACATTTGTTCAGCTTGTGTGTGTCTACCTGTATATCCACTCATACATTGTTGTTTTTACTGTTATTGTTGTCAAGTGTCGTCGAGTTGGTTCTGAACCACAGTGATTCTGTATAGGGTTTCCAAAGAACAGCTGGTGAGCTTGAACCTTGAGGCTGACCTTGTGGTTCAAATCGACTTTGCAGTACAGCGTATTAACATGTAGTACCACATAGGATTGTATATTTAACTTTGTAACCTTTAACCATTGTTCTCTTCCCAGTGCCTTCCTTTGTCTTGATCATTATGTGATGACCCCTCAACCTTGATCATATACTGCCTTTCCCTTCATCAAAATTCATCTGCATCTATTCCCTTATCAGTAATTTACCTTCCTACTCCATCCCATCCTTGGTAACTCTCAAAGAGTGTGTCTTTCTCTGTGTAAGCCTCTTCGTGACTTTTTACAATAGCAGTCTTGAAAAATATTTGTCCTTCTGTGACTAATTTCACTCAGTATAATGTCTTTTAAATGTATCCTTTAACACTGTGCTGTACTTCACTGTGTCCTGGGGTGGTGCTGTAGGATAAGCACTGGACCACAAGGTTTGAGCCTGCTGGTTCAAAACCACCAGTCACTCATTGGAAACCCTATACAGGGTCACTATGAGTCGGAACCTACCAGACAGCACTTGTTAACCATATGTGCCGTAACTGTTTTCTGGGCCTTTTTTTTCTTTTTTAACTTTGCTATTATTGCTGGGGATGTGATGAAGTTTATTTTTCTTTTTAAAGTAAACTACACAGAAAGTAATGAGGGTTAGAATTAATATCTACCAGCAGTCTAACATAAAAATATGAAATCAGACTCCTTATTACAGGGTGTAAACTGATGAAGAACTCAATCTTGAAAAAACATTCGGGCGTAGCTCTGTTGTGGAGAAAGAGATTCTTAGGAGATTTAAGTGTGAGCTTTAGCAATGATGATCAGATGTAAGACTAGAGAATTTTCAACCCTTCTGGGGTTTAGCTGTATTAACCAAAATGAATGCAATTATTTCCCTACCCAGTTACCACAGGGATTAGATACTACAATGACTATGAAAGGGCCTACTTTACATGAATAGCATACAGTAGGAATTTCATAGATGTTCAGTGAATGCATGACATTTGTTTCTCAAATACTCAGAAAAAACTTTTTATTTCATTAGAATCTATTACCTAGAAAACAGTGGCATAAAAGAAAGAAAAGGTATCAGTCAATATACAATGTTTTCCTTGTTGTTGTTGTTGTTAGGTGCCATTGAGTTGGTACTGACCCATAGCGACCTTACGCACAACAGAACAAAGCAAGCTGACATCTTTGCTCTTCAACACTTTAAAAAGGTCTTGTGCAGCAGATTTGCCTAATGCAAAACGTTGTTTGACTGCTGCTTCCATAAATGTTGATAGCTGATCCAAGAAGATTGAAGTCCTTGACAATCTTTCTTAGGATAAAATTATTTCTGGATAAAGGCTGCTTAAGAGGAGTGGGTCTCTCTGCTTTTGTTGCCAGATGATAGAAAACTCTCCAGTAGTTAACATTAAACCAAAAGAGAGAACCAACATGATACATGATTGGTATCTAAAAATTGCTCTACAAGCTGAAGAAAGGAGCGGAGACTCAGAAATGGAAAAGATTATACATCTAAGGGCACATACTCGATTCCATGTACAATTTCTCACATTCAGAATAGGAAGCCATGGTTTACTGCCTGTACAAAAGTATTGTTGTTGTTGTTGTTATGTGCCATCGAGTCGGTTCCGACCCATAGCGACCCTGTATAGGGTTTCCGAGGGTGTAAATCTT